GGGTATGCTGGTCATGCGCGCACCTGTCAGCTGCCTAACAGAACGCTCACGCTCACTGTCCCCCTCTGCGCTCCTGTGTCAACTTCAGGGGCATTACAACATTTCAGACTGCTGAATAGGCAGGAGCACCATAGTGTAGATTACTGACTGGAGAGAGTGGAGGATTTCCTGCGCTGAGATTCTCAGTATCAAGTAAGAAATTGTGGCCACAGTTTGAGAAACCCACTTTTGAATGTGAAGACCTGTACTTTAGAATGCCAAGTAGACCACGAAAGAGTCCAGGGAAGTAAAGATAATGTCTGTCCCTCGCATGTGCATAGCCTCAGGGCCCCACACAGGGCACAAACCAGTTGAGGGTTAATGACAAGACTGAATGAGTAAACACAAGGCCACCACCTTTTTGTTCCCTCTATAATGCAACGTTCTTACTTCAAAGAGGAAGGGAAAAATCTGAACTTGACATTGGACGGACAGGGCAGAGATGCAGAACATTTTACAATTCACACTGACGGTCATTCCTGGAGAGTGCCCCTAAGACAATACCACATGTGGGGCACCTGGAGGGCTCAGTCAGTTAAGCATCTGCCTTTGGTTCAGGTCGTGATCCTGAGGGTCCTGGGATCCAGCCCTGCGTCAGGTTCCCCACTCCGTGGGAAGCCCATTTCTCCTTCTGCCTCTGCCCCTGCCCTGTGCACATGCTTTTTCTATTTTTCTTTCTCTCTCAAATAAGTAAAATCTTCTAAAAAAAGACAATACCAAATGTAATTGATTTTTTAAATCCACACAAAGCAGTTGGAACTCTAAAAATCTCACTTAGGTCAAGATCTCAACTCACCATCTACTTTAGATCTCTCTCTCTCTCTCCAACCTGCTAACTTGATGAAATTAAGTTTCCCTTCCTTGTTCAGTCTCTGGAACTAGGTGTGTGTACTTCAGGGTGTGGAACGATCTAGCAACCAGCAGCAAAGAAGAACAACCTGAAGCTTTGCTCTACAGAATGAGCTTAAAGTAAATTTATAAAATGAGCATAAAGCTTCCGTGGAATGACGAAAGAACAATTAAAGCTCTAGACGACAGGAGATGATTTCCACTGTTTTGCATTATATAGAAAAATATGTCTGGGATGGTATGTCAACAAAGTATGAAACATTACATGAAATACAGGTGCCACAGCAAGGAATTTCATCTCCACGTTTCTTGGACCTATTTACTGTTATCACTCACATTGTATAACAACTCATGTGTAATTCTGATGAGTTGTTATTGCCTTTATATCAGCCTTTTAAATGGATGTGCTTGCCTTCAAATGACATTGATAGAGTGTCAGTCACCTTTGGAGGCTGGGAGCTGGGGCAGTGGGATCCCTTGCAGACCGGAGTAAGAGCTTAATGAAGCCTCTTCCGCCAAGTCCTCTTTATCTTTGCCACAGAGACGTCTGCTTGGGAAATGCCCTCCTCCCTTTAAAACCTCATTTCCATTTGAAGAGCACTATTCCCCAACTGCCTCGTGCCACTCATTCCCTGTCCCTGCGAATCCGGCTCCAGGTCCAACCCCAGCAAGATATCAGCTAATAAGCATTCCCGAAGGGACCCTCCCAACTCCACAAGGAGAAGGGAAACACAGCTCTTCCTCCCTTTCAAGTGGAGGGACCGCTGAATTACCATCACCCGGAGGCTGGAGAACGGGCCTTCAAACCCTAGGGTGGCTTTTGATAAATACTTTCCCAACTAAAGACTTCGTTTAATCCCGCAGCTTCTGAGTCATAAGCAAACACCGTCGGACGTGTGAACAACCAGAAGTGAGTCTATTAGGGGACAGGCCTGTCCTACTGCTGATGGGGACAGACAGGTTGGAGGCGAGTTATTCCCCACTGAGATCCTGCGGGAAAAAAATCCAGCTGATAACACAGCAAAAATGAAACTAGGCATTTTTCACTGTCTTGTATGCGATGCTTACAAAGACTGAAGTATCTTGTAATTCACTGATTTGGCTAATTTTGTAGTCCTATGGCTCCTGCAGCAAGATACACCCCCCCCACACACACGTCCATTTTAAAGAACTTTCTTTTTTTTGCCCCCTCCCTGACTAGCACTCAGAACCCGGTGTGAAAACGGAGGCCGTCATTACCCATACCACAATCACACGTGTGGCTGTAGCTGGAAACAGATCCTTGTGCCAAGGAGAAATGGCACTAGCGATGTTTCTTTCAAAAGTTCTGTATTTTAATTTTTTCAATGAGTCAAGCACTACCCATGTCCCCTGTTAAGACCCACCCCGCCACTGTTCCTTACAGAAAGGGAAGAGCACAGAGGCTAAACTTGCTGGAGCACAGATGGAATTTAAAACGATGTTCGTCCTTGAGTCGCGGTCTAAAGCAAAGGGGTGTTATTTCAAGGGTCAGGATTCGTTGTGTGAAGCTGCCTGACAACAGAAAGTACTTTTATCAGGGGCCCAGACAGACAGTTGCAGGCAGAGCCCGAACCCCAAGCTCACAGAAATATGGATTTAAAAATTTACAGATGCAAATTCCCACCAAACGGGAAGACTGAGTGGGAGGAATTTTAAATGATATAGGCGAGGCCTGAAACCTTTGTGACTTGCAGAAATGGGGCTGGGGGTAAGGGGAGTGTCACTACCAGGCAAACCCGTGAATTCTGATCCTGGCTAAGGTAAAAGTACAGAGGACTGTTATTCCAGATTAATCAGGAGAGAAATCTGTATCTTCAGGGAGTGACATTAATGAGACTCTGAGAAAACAAAGGCAAAATCTGTAAATATCTTGAAGAGCTTCGATAAGAACATTCGCATTTAAAACAAAGAAAGAATCCGTTATGTGCAGACCAAGGCAGATAACGCGTCCTTGGATAGAAGAGTAACAGCTTGAACTTTTAAATGGTAGTGTGTGTGTGTTTGAGCTAAAAAACAATCCAGTATTTCTCAGGAAATTGTATTCTTCTAAATCATATGTTTTAAATACCAACCATAATAATTTTAACATCTTTTTTAACCAGATCTCTTAAGAAGCCTAAAAAAAGAAATTTCTACTGAGCAACAGTAGGCCAGAATTATAAACGGGCGAGAAATGTCATTCTTTAACTCAAAAGGAGAATGCAGTAACCTTTTTTGTCTAACTCCACAGCAGTAATCAAGCTCTAAGACAGATACTCACTAGATTTATAAACTCTATTTCCACCAAAGGTAGAAAAACTCTTACTACATGGGAAAACTTCTCGGAATGGACTTAAAATTTATTTTAAAACACTTCACTTACACAATAGTGTGGCTTCAAAGGTATAAAGGACTTGCCTTTGGTTATTTCTAAGTCTTGTTTTTAAGAAAATAGTTTGTCTGTGATTTCTTTGCCCTTGTACCTCTTGTGTGATTGGTGGGATTTTTGGAAAGCAAACAGACTGGACGGGACAGAACCTGGTAAGGCAATGAGAAACGTCCCAGATATTTCTCACAACACGCGGCTGCTAGTCTCAAGAGTTCAACTCATTCAACCTGTATTTTGTAAACCTACTGGGCAGATACAGGAAACAAGGCCACAGAAAGTCCTGCAGGTGGCGAGTGGTAAGAAATCGAACAGAGATGGACTTTGGCGATATTCTGCACGTTAGCTAGGGAGCAAGGTGGTATCCCTCTGGTCTGTTTTCTAAAAAAATGTCATGGTTTAGAGCTGTTCTGGCCAATCAACGGTAGCCACCAACCATGTGTGGCTATGGAAATCTTAATTAATTAATTGAAATGAAAAATGAACTTTCTCGGTAGCACAAGCCACAGCTCAAGCGTGTGGCCATTGCGTGTGGCCAGCGGCTACTGTTTCAGATGCCGCAGCTGTGGACCGTGGTCACTGTGGGAGCTGTGGCTGGACATCGCTGGTTCAGAGGATGAAGTCAGGAGAAAAAGTACAAGGAATGACCTCAGTGACCACAGAAGTACGTCTAGAAAGTGGGCACGGTCATCTTGTGATCTTGGAATGGTAAGAATTTCTTTTAGAGCATGGAAAAACTCACATGAATATCCTCAAGTTTTTAAATTAACTAAAATGTGTGGGGTACTGATTACCCTAGAAGGTGCTACGTGCTTTACATGTATCCATCCATCCATTTAATCTTTGTGAGAGTAGACATTATTATAATCCCCATCTTAGGGACAGCCAACTAGGGTTAGAGAGAGCACGGGCATGACCCAAGATCGCACAGGGATTCCAAGCATGCCTTATCTCTCGAAGGCCAGAGCCTGTAGGGTGGCCTGTAGGAAGGCCCTTGGAGCTGGAGAGAAAGTCTCACAGCTACACTAGCAGATGCTCCGGCCACAACGGTGGCCTCTGCCCACATGGATGGCTTGTTCCGAATTAGCCTTCTTTCCCCTCTGCACCTAGTATCTTCTTGATGTTGAGCTTGATTATTTTCTACTAACAATGGAACGCTCTCGCCTACCAATCCCATTCTCTTCCCACTCTCCACCACCCAGCTCTGAGCTTCCCAGCAATGTCCCGAGCCAGTTCACCTAGAATGGAGCCGCTGTCCCTTTACAGAGTCGGCCTCGTGTCCCTTCCCTCCTCCAGACCTACAGGCCTGATCGCTTACATACCCTGTTGAGAATCGATGACTTCACGTTACAGAAGAGAATTCTAGTGACACAGTATTTCACTTGCTAAGGGCTGAGCAATGATAAACCATTTGCTCTGAGATGTGGGCTCTCAGGGGTCCTGGGGCATCGAGCAGGTGCTCTGCTCCTCAGTTTGTTAATATCTCAGCCTGCACGTGGGCAATGTCCCTGGCAATTGCTTAGGAAATTAGAGTTGCTCATTTGTTATACACTACTAACTTTTTTAAAGCTCTTTTTCAATTGCTCTAATGCTTGATGGGCCCATGCCTTTGGCCCGAGACACACCCGACTACCCCTTCTGCGGATCCTGCAGGGGCGGCAGGGACAGTGCCCGCTACAAAGGCCAAGGAGGGGGCCAGCCCTGCCTCGGGCCTCGCAGGCCTTACCTCCGGGGCGAGCCATCGTCGTGGGGCTGGATGATGACCACCTTTACGGTCACAGAGGTCCGGAGCAGGTCAATCATCTGCTCGTGGGTCAGAGTGGCCACGGCCACCTTGCAGATCTCCACGAGGCGGCTCCCTTGGCGAAGGCCGGCCTTCCAGGCGAAGCCGAAAGGTTCCACGTCTGCAACGATTCCCTCGAAATTCACATGGAAGCCAAGCTGGCCCAGCCCGTTCCTCCTCAGGGTCATTTCCACGGTCTCGCAGCCTCGTGTCACTATCTGAGCCAGGGAGGAAGGGGGAGACTGTGAGACGTTGCTGTGGGGCACCCTCCCTCCCTGCTGCCCCCACCAGGTCAAGGTGCATACACGGGCCTCCCAGCCCTGCCCTCCAATGGCCCAGGCGACACGCTAAGGACATCGCAACGCTGAGTTCACCATAACCAGCCGTGGCATCGGATGCAGAGAGAACAGTGGATGTAAAACAGTGGCTTTACTCTTTAAAGGCACAAATACTCCTGATACAGGTGTCCTGCTTTTTCTTAGAAGACACTGACCCCAGAGCTCGTGAGCGTCAGATGGGCTCTGGTAATTCCCTCCTCCCCTCCCCCATGTCAGTGGGCTTGGCTCGGAAGCACATAAACCCAACTGCTCCAGATGGACCGTAGTGATGGCAAAATGTAGGCTTTTGAAACGATGACAGTTTCACCCACTAAACATTAAAAGCTACTCAGACAATTCCATCCAACTTATACAATGGCCCCAATCCCTTCCCAGCTAACACAGAGAGGGCTGCTCCCAGGAGGGCAGCCTCAGAAGTCAGGATGTTAGGAAATGTGTTCAAGTGCTCTCTACACCAGACGGCCCGCTCTGTCCTCCGGGAAGCCCCCTTGTGGGGGCGAGTTGCCCCTGCTTGCCTGGGTGGTGAGGACCATTTAGTTCCAATGTGGGCAGGCCTGCCAGGCTCCCTGGCATCAGCTGACAAGGGCACTGTGCAGGATGGAGCTCTGGCAGGGAGCAGAGACCCTCTCCCCAGCCACCACACCTGCAGGTCACCTCTCCTTCATGGGGTCCATCTTCTGGGGGCCAAGGGCAACCCCAAGCAGTGATGGTTTTAGTGCTCTGACCTTCCCAAAGGGTGTGAGTATGCAGCAGTGTCGTGAAAAGGAATGTGGAAGACAGGTGGTTGGCTTCCCACGCCGCGCTCTGAGACCCCGATCATTACTTAATGCCACCCTCAAAAGTGCTCACAGAGAGTAACGTACATGCACAGACAGAAAAACACAGGCTCGTTAAATGTCACTCGATGACTACGGCATTGCTTATTTGTGGGAAATTTAAAGTCGGGATGTATCATACCCATACCTCCCAAATCACAGAGCTCATGTATAAAGTTGCAGTTTAATAAATGCTCCATTTCCAGGAAACACGCCCTGAATACCCAGATTCCTGTTCAGTGAGACCTACGAGTGCAAGCACAGCTGTGGGACTGGGCTGTTTCCGTGCATGTCCGCTGTGTCTGTTTCCATGGTTACCCGCACGGGGACACACATGGCCCTTCGGCTTCCCACAGATACACACGGCAGCTGGGGGCTCAGGAAAACGGGGCGAGGCATTGCTGGTCTTTGCAGTGAGGTTTTAAAAGACTGAAGCTTGCAAAGTTATGAACTGAACTAACTGGAAATTGTCAGAGAAGGACACACCCTGAATAAAATTTTCCTTCACTTCTTTTTCAACTTTGTTTCAATGACGCTTTCCTACCAAAAGTCTACGTATGTGTGACAATGCAATTTTCAGGTGAAATTGAGCGTCCACACATCAGACTGAGGAGTGAACAGTCAAGCCCTTCCTGGGACCTTTGTGTTTCTCATTTCTTCCAACTGCCTGCTACCGGCCACACTTTTGCCGTTTGCCATTTCTCCCTCCCTTCTGTTCCTTGCTTCTTAACATTTGCAAAGGGTAAGAGAACTGGAGTTCCTTACATACTTACATGGACTCAATCACCACAGGAAAATGGTGGCTTCCTATCCACGTACCTACCCAAGACCTCCCATATAATCGGTGGGGCCCAGTTCAGAGTCAAAATGCGGGGCCCCTGGGCCCAACACTATTTAGAACTTCAAGATGGTAACAGCAGAGCACTCAAGCAAGGATGAGCTCTTCCAAGAGTGGCGCCCCTGAGGGCGGGTCACGGGTTGCACACGACTGCCGCGGGCCCTGCCTGTCCCCACTTAGGTGTCAGCTCTCATTCCTTCCTGGGTCTGCACCTGCATAATGGATGCCTTTAATTTCAGTTTCCACCACGATAAAACGCACACCGAGTCTACCACCCGCCAGCCAGGACTCGTTCCCCATATCTGCACTACGAAGACGGGATCCTCCTTGCCTCCGCCCTATACCAACCTCATGTTCCAATCCCTCAGCTGTCTGTGGGATGGTTTGTTTCCAAAATCTCCTGCTGCAAGTCATCCTAGACACACAATACATTTCCTCAAACACGTTCCGGACAGCAGGCACTCCTGTCACATTAGCCACACGACTGCTCTTCTAGAAACATGGCAGAATGGGGTCCACAAAACAGCGAATGGGGAGGGACCTACGAAATGTGCATTTTGGGGGTTGGGGAAGTGGCGTTTGTTTGTGTTGTATTTTCAGGAGCACAGACTTTGATGACTCAGTGGATCTCCTAAAAAGAACTATCTCCGGTATCATCGAAAGCACAGTGCATCTCAAGACCCACAAGGATAACTCGGTTCTCCAGACACGTAAACTAATCATGTACTGAATCATCCCCAAATCACATCTCTGTTTGTGCCCGTACACCCGATAATACTGTTGAATGCACTGAGGTCTGTTCCTGTAAATAGCGTCTACAAATAATTAAATTATTTCTCCAAGGCTAGCAGACACTGACTTGATTGTATTGTCTCTAATATATGGTTTCGAATAACAAAGGGGAGATTTATATTTGGTGGGAGGAAAGGGGACAGGAAATGGGTAAAAATCCTCCTTTTTTCATGATCTGTAATTGACTAAACCTTATCTAAACACTGAAATATACATCCCCTGGGGGTAAGATTTAAACATGAGAAATTCTTTTGTCACAGCATATTTGGGTTCTTATATTTGATTTATTCCTATCACAGTTTGACAGACTCGAACTGAAATCTGGATCTTTCTGTGTGAAAATCAGGAGAAGAAATATTAACTGTTACACTCCGTGGACATCATTTAGGGGATCTGTACTAAAAATAACATTGGAAAAAAATCTCTTTCAGGACCGATTTTTTTTTTTTTAAAGTCTAACTTAATGGGTAATTCTATAAAACCTCCTTAAGAAACTGTGGCTGGAGAGTAATCATATATTTAATCTGGCAGACTAAAGAAAAACACCTGCTAAAAACACTAAAGAAAAACACTAAAACGCTAAAGAAAAACACACAGAATTGAAGCTGCAAAGAAGGCATGGTCATTCGTAGGGTGAACAGTAACTGTGTGCCTGCTGGTCTCCCACTGAGAGGATCCGGTCATGCCCGTCTCTATACACACACATAATATCTAGACAATTCTCTATTTCTTTCTTTCAGATACTATAAAAATATATCCTGATGTTCCCTTTCGGAAGTTGGTTTAACATTTCCTTTCCAAACAGGCCATGATGGGTGCGTCTCCACCACTCACATATTTAGCAACTGCTCAAAAGGACACAGCATTTAGAGTTAAGCCCTAGAGCCATACAAGACAGTAATGCATTCCCTAGCTGCCACAATCATGGCAGATTTTCCAGAGTGGAAGCCATCATAAATCTGGGATCGAAGACCTAAAGATGGTGGAAACACAGAACCTGTACTCACTCCTAATCGCTGGACGATTTCCCTGACGTCTTCAGCACAGTTGTCCACGGAGGACAGAAGAATACATTCCCCTCGCTCGTAAAACACTTTGATGCTCATTAATCCCGATGTCCACCCGATGACGTCCCTGCAGGAGCAGTTAAATACAACGTTCTTGGAGTCCTTTTCGATCAACATTATGAACTCATTGGAAACCCCAAGAAGACATTCGATGTCAGCAGACCGGCCAAAGTCCCGAGCTATGACGTGCCACATGATTGCTCCGACGCTGAACAAATGAGCATCCTTCCTTGGCTTCACTTTCTCCTTTTTCTTTGCGCCCAGTGTAATGAAGCTGAATTTCACAGACGTGTCCACAGTAGCGGTCGTGACAAAGTTCTCCGCCAGATCCTTCAAGTACTCTTGCCTCGTTCGAGTGGCCATCGCTCGGAACTTTTCTGACTTATGGGCTGCGTTTTCTGCATTGATCACCTTGGCTAAAAGGAAGTCCCGAAAAACTGCTGACTTTGGAAAAGTTACTCCTTTGGGAATTGGTGGACCAAACGGTGGCACATCTTTTGATCTAGAAACTCCAACACTGAGAAAGGGGAAAAAAAAAGAAAAAGGAAACAAGATGAGTGGTAATACTATAATATTTACCTTCAGTAAACATGACGATACTCTCAACTTAGGCTATCTGTTTTGTAGCTTTTTGTTATATACTAATTTCTGGATGCCCAGGGTTTGTGTGTTTGTTTTTCTAACTCAGATGGGCTGCTGCTCTAACTCCGCAGCTGGTCATCACTGGGAAAGACAGTGATGCTTCCAACAGAAGTGAGGTCATGAGCCCCAGGTGGCTGCTTGGGATCTTACGGGTAGTGGACACCATGATCACACTTCACAGGGTCAAAAGTTTTAGGTGTCCCATTTTTGTAGGAAATGCTCACTTGGTCACATTTGGAAAATCTCCGTGAATATTTTACGGGGGTAAAATCTTAAGAGATTGCGGGGACTGAGAAGATCAAGTGTGGAGTGACAGTAACAACCACCTTAATGTGTCCAAACCGACAGTGATGCTCCCCGACATCAGGCAGAAGGTGTCAAACCCGTCTTGGGATGAGAGCATCTACGAAGAGTGAATTAATGGTCATCGACAAAGGACTGGACTGAGGGAACAACGAATCCCAGAGCAACTACAGCATCTACTCCCCAGTGACAGAGCAGCTACCGAGAAACCGAGCAGCAGTACTAATGCCACGTCTGCCTGGGCGGATGCTCCCTGTGTTGCAATAAACAAAGGAAGCAACCCGGGCTTCATCGTCGTCATCGCCAAAATCCTGGAACGTGGTGAACTGAGGGAAGAAAGAATTCTGTCCAGATCTGTGCTGTCGGGTGTCTGGGAAGTGGCTGGTTAGACTCTTAAAACGATCACGGTCTCCAGCTCTCTCTCACCTTTGCTTTCATCCGCACACTCTGCAGAAGAGTGAGTCGCTTCCGGGGAGCCAGGCTGTGGATGGAAGACTGGCGGCAGGGGATTCCCCACTCTCACGTGACACCTTGTAGGATTCCCTTTGGGACAGAGGAACCTAATCCATCCAGAGATGGCAGGGCGCGCACGAAACCAGACAGTGATGGGGCAGGCTCAACTCGTGTCCTCAAAGGAAGGTGGTGGAAATGCTACAGAGTCTGACATGTCTTCGGGGCCAACCTCATAGTGGACTCATCTCCCCCACCGCCCCCCGCCTCCACGACTAGCCTTAGAGCGGACATTCTAGACTGCGTAGGAATTAACTGGTCCTCAGGTTTTAACTCTCAGAGAGCCGTCACAAAGCTAGCTGGCCTTGCGATGAGGCTGACCACACCTTGTCGTTTCTCCTCTAAACCAGTCAGTGGGGTCACGTGGCCGATCTCCGCACTGGGACTGGCCATCCCAGGAAACTCACGTGATCACATCCCCTAATTTTTTTTTTCCTTCCAGTAATGAGTACAGATTTCTGGAAGAATTTTACCCACAGAAGGCCCGGGAGGCCCTCTCTCACATTGACACCTTGTAGGATGACCTTTTTGCACTTAGCTCTGTGGATCTTAAGCTACTCTGACTGACTGCAGGGTGCACACACTTACGCCAAAGCCTCAGGGAAAACTTTTTATCTAAATATGTTCCCCAAAAGTGCTCACTGAGGAGCTCTGTAGGAGTTAGAGGGTGGTATCTTATAAAAGGGCAATTGATTTTGTCCCAAATTATTGACCCTAATATCTAACAGGAAGTTCCTTCCACCATGCACAGCACATTAACAACTTGATCAGCTGGAATCCTGTGTCTCTCAGATCCAAGCTGTACAAGAAAAGCAGCCAGAATTGAGGTCTCGATACTCTAGGATTACTAATGGTATTATGGGATGGAGATCAATTAGAGATCACTGGTTACAGAAGTTTATAGAATGCTTTCAAATAGAACTGGGGTCAGAGGAATGTCCTTGGCCAGATTTAGATGATTTCTAATGAGCTGAAACAAGAAAGTGTTCCAGAATTTTCTTTCTTTCTTTCCTTTTTTAAGATTTTATTTATTTATTTGAGAGAGAGAGACAGAGTGCGTGCATGCGGGGGTAGGGGGAGGCAGGAGGAGAGGTGGAGAGAGAGAATCTCACACAGACTTCCCGCAGAGCACAGAGCCTGATGTGGGGGCTCGATCTCACAACCCTGAGACTGTGACCTGAGCCGAAATCAATAGCTGGACGCTTAACCAAACTGAGCCACCCAAGTGCCCCTCAGAATTTCTTATCTTAGCCAAGTAACTCGATGGCACAGCTAAATGTAAGACCCCCCCCCCCCACCACTGAAAGCAACAACACAAAAATGAGCATTCCCGGAAATGCAAGTGAAAGGGTTCTGGGAAAGAAGAGGGGTGGTGGGCAGGTGCCACGCCATGTCTGGAATTCCAGCCCCACCCCTTGCCTAGAGGCTCTGAGCTGGTGACTTCATCCCTCCATGCCTCAGTTTCCTCATCTGTAGCATGGAGGTTAGACCGTGCCATTCTCAAAAGGCCACGGTGAGCATGAAACCAAATATTGCAGGCAAAGCAATTACGATGCAAACTGCTTTATTATTAGTAGTATCACAATCACCGCTTTGGTCATTGATTTAACACTCCCATCTAATTTTTGACAGGAGGGACTATGCATTAAATTTTTGAAAAGGGAACCTGTTGCTTTGGACAGATACCGCCTCGCTCTTACTTGACAGTGAGCTACCAAGCTTACACAGCGAGCAGTGTATGCATTCGTTTACCACGGGATTCCTGTGGCGAAGAGTTTATCTCGGAAAGTATACAAACACCTCAGTCCCTCAAGGTTAGCTCTGCATTGGCTCTTGCTGGTAAAATTAAAGTTAAGTTTGCTTTTTGAAGACTTCAGACTACGATGATGGTACACGGAGCTCTCAGGATGCTGCCCCGTCGTCTCTCTCTAGGCTCCAAGAGACCCAGCCTTACTTCCTAGGAACCCTGCTACATCCATGGGAGATGCCTCAGATGACCTCTGGAAGGTAAGAGTATGCCCTTCTGTGTTTCTGGCCTTGCCAGCCATGACGGTTTTTATCAGCAGAGACCATCTTAACCCAATGATATTTGTGGGTCAGGAGACCTGGACCATTTTTTACCCTTCCCTTGGAAACTATTTTAATGAATTTACTTTGTCACTGTTTTGAGGAATTATAGTTTTGAGGAATAGCATATGAAAGAATCCTATAAGGGGTTTTTGGAAAATGTGAGCACTGTAACGTTATTCCATGGGACGGAGTTCACGTGGCCTCGTGAAATGTTAGGGAACTGATTTGACTAGAGTATTCAAGAAGATTATTACTGACTCGTGGAGGAACGCTCATGAAGTTTTTAAGCATGATCAGTATGAATGTTTATGAGGCACTTCTCAAAATTTGAGGCATTCTACTCACTTTATGTTTGAATCTCATTAGCAAATGGTAATTAAGTGATACCAACATGGTTTCTTAAAAACCAACGATTCCACAGTTGGGTGATTTGCACAATGCTAACCTCTATCATAGGAAACCGGCCACAGTCTGCTTTAATTATCGGTAAGATCTACATCTAGCCCGGTACTGGTTTCAACATCCCTCCCTAGTCATTTTATTAAAATCCGAAAACCTGAAACAAATGAAAACAGACGTTACTGCTAACTTAAAGATTTTTGGTGCTCATGAACCCCCTCGTGACAGAAGTATAAACTAAAATGGAAAGTAATTAAAAATACTTGATTTGACCTAAAAACAGCAACCAATAAAATAACACCAAATTCTATAAAGCCTTAGGCTTACGTTTCTCATCTATTATGAAGGTTCATTTAAGATTGGGCTCCATAATTACCATTCATCGGGTGAGATCCCAGAAGAGTCATCCCATTTACCATGTTTGTACCAACATTATCTGTTTTAAACCTATCCTTGAGATAGGAGATGTCATGCTTGTTACAAACAGCATTTTTTAAGGTAGTGCTGGGCATTCAGGCCAGTGGTCTTCCGCCCAGATGTGACTCAGGGATCACACTGATGCTCAGGTCAATTTCATGTCTGTGACATCAGCGTACCACACAGCAGGGTCGGAGAATGAGCCCATTTTAACAAGCTGTGAGGCAACATTCGGGCTAAGAATGACCAGTTTATAGACTCTGTGTTCCTTTGAGATGGGCTGGGCGTGGGGCAGGGATATAAAACCAGCAACATCTAACACACAGACCAGTTTCTCTGCGTTTAGGAGAGCCACGCCCTACAGTCCTCCGCGCCTCCCCGTCCCCTCCCAGCGCACATACGTGCACCCCACTTGGCCCAGAAGACGGCTGATACAGCACTTACAGTTTTAGGATGATAAAGGGAAATGACCTTTGGGGAGTGCCAGGAACACTAATAGGTGTTCTGCAGAATTTCTGCTATTTATTCTACATGCTCAGGTAGGTACTCTTATCCTCAACTTTAAGAGAATGAATGAAAGTTTCCAAAATTAAAGTAACTTGTACAAAGCACAGCGGACAGGACAGCTGGATTCTAAACACAGGTCGGACACCTGCCCTTCTACCCCACAAGGCGAGATCTTCCAGGGGCAACTACCTCCCCCAAAAGGGGAGGAGAGAGGAAACAGAAACGTTCGGCTCGGGATTAGGAGGCACATGCACGGCCTTTGGAAATCACCAACACGAGCATCAACTCTGGTCCCAGGAGCCCCGCGGGAGGGAGTGTTTCCAAGATCTTGGATGAAAAGCAGTGTTTTCCCATTACTACCATTACTTCCACTTGGGAAGAGCTGAAATGGCCACATCAGCCACCTCGGAGGCTGGGATTAACAAAGCTCTGGTTCCGGCAGCGGCTGTATGCTGTTTTTAAGGGGAAAACTGAGGAAACGTGTAATCTACAATTTTGAACGCCTAGGCATTCCGCTGCTCAAAACGGGAAGGAGCCAATTATTTCATGCAGAAAGCACCTGAGTGAAGACAGTGGACATACAATTAGAAAAAGAACCCAAAAAAGGATAATTACGGGGTTAGAGAGAATAATTGGAAAACAAAGATATTTCAGGAGACAGGGTGCTGCTGAAATCCAGCCGATGGAAGGGAAGACCGGGGTCTGCTCTCTCACCTGTAACACACGTTCTCGGTGCACGGGTTGTGCACTTTGACGATGACAAAGACGTGCTGGAAATGGGACCGGATGCTTCTCGGAGTAAAAGGAAGTGCTCCGGGCTCTTGGAAGACAATGGTCACAATGTCATTTCCGATATGCCTTTTCCTCAGAAGCTGCGGTCAGGAAAGAGAACACACACAGTTCCAGACACGGTTTTCCGTAAAGACAAAACACGGCCACATACCCAACTCGCTCCTCTATCCATGGTAAAGGGCTGATTCGGAAAGCAAAAGCCTCTCTCTGAAAGTCAGCGGTCCTTGAGGGGACACCAGAATAGCAAAATGGGCTGCGTCCTAAACATCTATGGACAGACAAGCTGAACGCAGTTTATCTCTTGGCACTTTAAAATTCAACTCCTTCTCGCCTTGAGCTTTCCCACTGATCTACTAGGTTGTTAGCACTCAAAAGGCTTTCAGGAATTTTTCAAAGGTTTTATTTATTTATTTTTGAAGGAGAGCACAAGCAGCGGGGGAGGGGCAGAGGAAGAGGGAGAAGCAGGCTCCCTGCTGAGCAGGGACTAGGACTGGAGGGGCAGGGGGCTGGATCCCTGATCCCCGGGAACTGAGATCATGACCTGAGCCAAAGGCAGAGGCTTCAACGACTGAGCCAGCCAGGCACCCCCGCTTTCAAGAATTTTATGGTTTAAGCTCTCTTCAGCTTAAAGCAAGGAGACAGAGTACAGATTTGCTGAAAGTCCTACACCAGCCTGTGAGGGCCTTCCCTGGTGTCTTGTGCTCCCCCGCAGGCCTGTCTAGGACACCAACACAGAGAGACTGCTACTGCGCTGGCTAATTTACGATTCAAACTACTTCACTGAAATCCGGCCTTTCAAATGGGATTCGGAAACACAGAATTCTACCAGGTTAACGGCTGGAAAACTCCATGGTGTATAATCTTACACATTACAAATGTGGCAGGAGACAAGGAACCCCAGAGCAGCAACACTTTATTATTATGGTGATTATTTTTATTTATTTTTTATTTTTATTTTTGAGTAGCGACACTTCCACAACACTCCACTTTTCATTCCCCTTTCGCCCAGAATATTCCCTTCGCCGCAAGGTGCTCCTGGACGACTCAGGGCTCTAAGTCAGGTATCTCGTTCCCTGAAAGGAACTTCCCTGGGAAGCCTGCACGGGCAACTCCAGCCACACACCCAGGTCTACTTCGAGGGCATTAGTTGTAACAGAACCAGGCTGATAGTTGATTTACTTCTCCCGCATCAGGTCATCACCGTCGGGAGGGCAGGAGACATGTCCTGGTGACTGCTTAGTCCCAGGACCCTGCGATCATGACCTGAGCCAAAGGCAGATGCTTAACGGACTGTGAGTTCCTGGTTTCTGATGGCCTGCCTGGGACACAGCCGGCACCCAGCCCACAGTTGCCGAAGGCATACCTGACTGGTGCAGACACAGGATCCTAGCCACACCACGCTGTGCAATAAAACCGTGAACGCAGGTCGATAAACCCGTATACAGGGCACTCTCTAAGTTGACGCAAGCAAAACCGCAGTGTCCGTGCTCACCAAGTTTGTGATCTTCAGTTTTAATAGATACAATAATCTTTATAGGAGCTGGTGATGTAACGGCAGGAATGAGATAATCGCAGGTAGTAAATCTCTCTTTACTAGCAGTAACAAAGACAACGAGCTTGCTCTTAAATTTATTTGGCACCTACACAACACAGCCTCACCCTAAAGAGCATTAAGTTCAACTCTTAAAGGCTTTTCAACCCAGATACAAAGAAGATTTCATTGTCGGGCCCCAGACTTGTGATTTTGCACGATAAAAGGTCTGGGAACTTGGGGATGAAATGTTCCTTCTTCCAGGGTTCTCTGATATGCCAGTTAAATCACTGATTCATATGCTGAGAAACTCCCATTTAAATCAGCAGGGTTCAAGTTCACACACACACACAAAAGTCGCTTTCCTGTCTGGGTGAAGGTTTGAAACATACGTTAACATACGTTAACATACGTTAACATACGTTAACACAAACCCAATGAGCCACCTCTACATTTAAGAATGTTTGCTAAATAAGTCAAAATGTGCCATTTTGGACACATGTAAAAAAAAAAATCAGTAGCCAACGAGGTCCTTTACACAGTGTGATTATTTCTCCTTACTACAGCGGACACAGATGATAATCATGATAAATGTTTCATGTAAAGAGAATGGAAGCAAGGATACATATATATCTAAAACAAACATCAACGGACACGCTGGAAATCGTACTAGAAGATGATGTTCTTCCCTCATTGCCACAATAACTGAAGTACAGGGTTCCCAGGTATGAAAATAGGACAAGGGAAAATCAGGAACGATTGAAAAGTTAAAAAAAAATGTCTTTTAAATACCTAACACCGTGGTTCAATGTATCTGTTGAACACGGCACACAAAAGCTGACTCTGTGGTGGACTTAATGTCCTTGAAACACAAGAGTTCTCAGATCAAAGGGCAGAAGATGGTGCGCACACCGGCCAAGGCCACGCTGTGATTTCTGCAGCCCTTCCTCCTACGTGGGTGCGGTGTAACCCCCCACCCTTGGCCGGCCCTCTCAGTTACGTGCATGGGGCAGGCATGAACGCGTGAGTCTATGTGTCCTTACTCTTGAAGGAGCCACAGCAAACAGGACAACCATTCCCATCCATGGGCTCTTCATCCGGAAGGAAGACACGGGGTCCGGGTCTCTACTTCCCAGCACAGGATTACTGAGAGCACCACTTAAAAGGGGCTCCCTCGAAGACATGTCCCTTTCTAAGCATATTCTTTGGCTTTGTAAAACGGGCTTTGTAAAACGTTTTTAATGGTCTGGTTAATGGAACCAGGGTCACAAAATGTACTTGGCAAAACAGTAAAGTGTGTGGGGCAGGAGGGGCGGGGAATAAGGTGATTCATTAAGAAGGGCAAAATCTGAAACTCTTTGTAGGAGAATAAAATAAGAAAACTTAACACCTTGCCCATTAATGGGATGCTTGGCTTTGTTGAGAGGCTAAAGAAAAAGAACATCTGGAAAGTTCACAGAAACACTTTCAACCGCTTTCCAGGATTTTGCCAAACATCAAATAACCTAAGTAACTTCGCAGGCTTCTAATCTAAGGGTAAATATTTTCTTTCGTTGTTAGTATTTTTTCTAACGGGCCAGTGAAGTTCTATGTATTTTTTCTAACCGGCCAGTGAAGTTCTGTGTCATCGGTGTCCAGGACTGGAAGGGGAAAGGGGACGGCAGCCCAGCAGGCTGTGAAGGGGAGCCCCTGGGTTACTGAGCCACCTCTGCACTATTTGGGGGATGAAGGAACGGTGACTTGTAGCGCTAACTCCTCCTTTCCAGACGTGAAGGTCCCAACACGTTTCAGCGCCAAAAGAACCACCTTCTCATCTCTGACTGTAAGAATGAGTTAATAAATACTGCGTGAGACAGATTTACATAGTCCGTCCTACTAAATTTCCAATGCTTGAGTCCAGCAGCAAAACAGGAATAAGCTCTTGTTATGACGAGAGAAGCGAAATGTGATTCCTCACCCAATTCCACGGCAAAAAGCATCCAGACGCGATAGAAAATGCAAGCTTCAGGTTTATTCTCCACTCCCTAACCAAACTCCAGGGCTCCCCAGGACCAGTTTTAACTCGATGCAACCATCCAAACTGAGTGAAAGCTGTCTGGTAGCCCTGCTTGGATCAGAGGAGGCGTCAAGTCGAGCTAGGTCAGACCTATCAGCCTCTGTGCAGACAGGCTCGTTTGTTATTTTTTCTTGGCGTAGTTAAGGTAGAAAAAGTATTTTGCACCTCATTCTGGAGGGGCGGGGGAAGCAGTCTGCACACTATGGAAGAAATGCAGTTGGATGTGGTTCACAAGTTTCTAGGAATCAGAATTAGTGAAGAGAAAGTGTAATTCGAAACTAGAAATGGCTGGGATCTCCGGAGAGAGTCTCCTGTCTTAAGAAGCAAATAGGTAAAAATTTGCGTGATTTCAAAGGGAAAAATGCATCATTTAATGATCTTATATGTTCTGAAATTCAAAGAGATGAGCCCCGAACTGAGCAAAAAATTAAATGTATCCCCATGAAAACAGATCACAAGTTCTGGATCTCAGCTCTTAGGTTGGAATCTGAAGTCCGGTGGGTAGGAGCAGGGCTGAGCAAGCCTCCTTTGACCTGTGTCCTTCCCACCCCTCTGACCTTGTCTCCCACCCCACCCCTCCCAGACAGCCACCTTGTCCCTCTGACAGGCTAGTTTTTCCTGTCACAGGCACTTTGTACTTGCTAACCCTCTGCTTGGAAGTTTCCCCCCCCACACACAGAAGGCGAGCTTCTCCCCCTTCAGAGACCTTCCTAATTCTGCATGTGTACACACAACACACACACACACCCCACACCCTCACGTACTCATTACTCAAGACTCAACACCCGTCGTTAGAGTTTTGATTTTTAAGAGATATCTAGAGTTTCCTGTGGAAAGTAGAAACATGAACGTAGATTCTAGTAAGAAAGAGAGGGAAACCAACATACGTGACCACATAAATTCACCAAATCTATACTCAGGGCAAGCCTTCCCTACCTACTCCCCACAAAAAAGGTGAAAGCTAGGTTAACCACTCTTATCTCAGATCATCAAGATCATATTAAATTTAATTGCCATTTCAAGGATTCATTGTGGAGTACTATATATAACCAATATAAAATATTATATAAAATATTTAATATAAAACATATATTTTACCAATTGGAAGCATAAATGTACAAACCAGTTAAGCGAGCCAGGCTGAGTATTTCAAAAATGGAGAAACAGAAATAAACCAAGAAAGCAGATTTTTAATGATTTAATAATAAAGTGAAGATAAGAGGATTATGGAGATACAAGTATTTCTGACACCCGGCAGCCCAACCCTATTGAAACAATCATGCTTATGGTCCTGCACAAGTACACATTCCTATTTAGGGCCTGGGGATAAATCAAATCATGGAAAGCTGAATAAGCATTTTATTCTTCCAAAATATTCCATATAATTATTTATAGGTGAACACAAGTGCAGTCAGGACCCGTTCGTACTGTAATTTAATGAGGCGGACTCCTCCTGTATATGAATGTTTTCTTAGCAGTCCCAATTAGGGACTCACAGAAGTGCACAAACCGCCTAAGATAGGCCAGCCATCTATCCAAATTAGATAGAGAAAGGGTTCCAGCCTGGCTCAGACCTAACAAGCTGTGTCTCCATTACCTCTGTAGAGGTCAAGGCTGTCCCTAGGCTAATAGTAGTATTCTTCAAATGGAAGCTCAGAGAACTAGGAGCTTGGCCTTCTTTCTTAGGGACCTCTTGGGGGCTTGGACATCCCTTTCAAGGAGAGCAGTTCTAACTGTATGCATGCATTTAAAAAAAATCATAATTTACTATGTGCCAGGCTCCATGCTACCTGTATTCATTTTATATACTGAGACTGAAGAAAAGGTCTCTCTGTCCCAGTGAAGTCTGAAGCCAATTTGCGGCATTCTCTCCACCGATAACGTCCCATGATGGCTGCTCTATGATCTGTCTACGGGACAAGCAGAGGGGAAGCACATGGCGGAGACAGCCCTGGGAGGCAGAATCCGACCGCCAGACTGGCCCAGAGAGACTAATGGGTCTTCAAGGAAGAGGGAAACCGCTCCAAGAGTGGATTCTCTTATCACTCCCTGGGGCTGGCTAGGTTTTCTTTGCAGGAGTCATACATTCCAAACACTGAACTCTTTTGCAACAGTGGTAAACTCTCTAAAGACTTTTAATACATCTTGGAATCGGCTTTCAGCTTGATTTATTAAAAGAACAAACACAAGAAATAATATCTGATGTGGACGAGTCTAGACCAGTTAAACAGTCACAGATACCATGGTGCTAATGAGGCCAAAGTTACAGGCACCGCTCATGCACAGGCCAGAGAACTTTGCTACGTTCAGTGGCCTCAAACTGCACTCAGGAGCCCAGCGGGTCATTTCAGACATTTCTACCCCTGGTACTGAGATAATCTGCGGACATGGGTGGGGCGGGTGGGAGAGGTCTAAAGGGCCAGTACAACCTGTAACAAATTTGGAGAGTACATGTTTGAAGATTGCACAGTGGCAACATTTATCTACAAACAGAATATTCTGGTAACAACCCAGGAGTAGCAAAATATTAAATGCCGAAGTAAAGATAATTTCGTGAATTTATTGATAAATTAGCCCCTTAATTTCTTACCTATCTAGGCCTTAGTTTCTCATACCAGAGCTCTAGGATTGAGAACAGGAAAATGAAATGCAAATTAAGTCATTTAAAAAGCTTGCACTTTATATCTAATAAATGATGAAACAGTAACCGTAGCTGAAACTTACTGAGCATGCTCTGTGTCAGGCACCATTAAGTGCCTTATACGTATTAGCTCATCTAATTCTAGCCACCGTCTATGAAAGGTTCATTTATTCCTTGAACAAATGTTTACTGCCTGCCTACCGTGCTCAGGGTAGCAATTAGGGTGCACAGGGTCACCTTGATGAAGAAACGAGATCAAAGTCCCTGCATTTAGGGATAAACCAAGGCACAGAAAATTGTGCCCAAGTTCACAAAACTGGTAGCTGGGATTCAAATCCAGATCATGTGGCTCCAGAATTCTTGCTCTGTTAACAACTACATTTTTCTATTGAAGCCAATTTTCCACCTAGAAGCAGGAAGTCTCAGGGAGGGCCCTAGAATCACAGAAATCAGACACAAAGAGGGACATGCTATGAATTGCCTAGTTCAAGTATCACATCTGCCACATCTACCCACTGCCAAACCTGTAGAAAGTTCTCTATAATCCAGCATTTTTTTTTTTTACTCTGACCCCAGGTGCAGGTCCAGAATCCTTCTTAACACAGTTTTACAAGTAGCCACCACTGGCCGTCTGAACCAGGTCTGCATTATATAATTAATTCAGTTTCTTGAGAGGCTAAGATCTTACCCAAAAGTATAAGGCAAGTGACCGGCTGTGGCAAGTTCAGAATATGTCCACTGACTCCTATTTCCACTCCTTACCCACCCCCCACCTTATATCATGAATACTTGCCCACACAGTGTTTCGCACGTAGGTTTCCCAATGGACCATATGCAGGATCATATATATTCCAGGCACAATAAGAGCACTCATTAGAAAAGCAAAACAAACGATTTTACAGTTTTCCACCTCTAATCCATCAGCAAAACTTACTCAATGTCATGGATTCGCACTCAAGTTTTCAAAAACAACAACCGAGAGGTAACCAAGTAAGTCTTTAAGCTACAGAGTCTGTAATGTGTAGAATCAATTTACAAGGTATATATTTCCAATTTGGGAAGCTTAAAACACCCATCCATACCCTACTCCCCAATTGCCATCTGCCCATCTACATTTTTGTGTGTAGGAATTTAAGGAGAGTTTCAGTGGGGAAAAAAAAAAAAAGTCAGGTACAGAGAACTCATAAACCCACAGTTTTTAATTACCATGCAACCGAAAGGAGGCAGGGAAAGCCTGGTTTGAGTTCTGCTAAGAGCAAAGCCCAACAGATGTCAGAATCCCAGAGGCTGCTATATGGGAAGTGATGGGGGCCCATCCAGCTTGGAGTCCAATGGCTCAAGTAATTAGGGAGCTGAAAGGGCTTTGTGGTTTGAACACTCGATGACTGGGGTCAAAGGCACTGGCTCTTACTTCTGCTAAAGTACAGACAGATTTCTTGGCTGGAGTAAGCCCTATCAGTTTTCTGAGCAACGACTCACACAGAGTTTAACTACAGAATGATTCTTGAGTATCTGCGAGACAACGGCACTGGTCTAAATTAAGCTTCTTAAAAGCTAGTGAATCTGACATTCTTTGAAGTAAATTTCTTTTTAAGAGCTAGAAATCCTTTAGGTTAAAACATTTAAATACATGCATGGGATCTAGTGACTATAACTCTTAAGTCTTAAAAAGCATACAGATGTACGGGTGCCTGGGTGGTTCATATAAGCATCTGCCTTCGGCTCAGTCATGATCTCAGTGTCCAGGGATAGTACTGCATCGGGCTCCCTGCTCAGCACAGAGTCTGCTCGTCCCTCTGCCCCTCCCCCACCACTCGTGTGCACACACACACACACACACACACACACACTCTCTCTCTCTCTCTCAAATAAATAAATAAAAATCTTTAAAAAAAAAGAAAAAAAAAAAAACCCACATAGATATGTGATCAAAAGGTAGATTTCCTGACAGTAGGGGGAAGAAATCTGATTATTAGAAAACACTGCAGACCATTCAGGCAGGACAAGGGACTGAGCTTAAGCATCAGATAAATGGTCAGAAAATCCAGCTGGCAAGAAGGGAAAAGGAAAGAGGTGTTGTCGCTACTGTGAAGAGCTGGGCTCATCCCGGCTGGAGGGTCAAAGGCGGTTCTTGTAATTCGTGACGGCAGCAGGGTAAGCGGTTTCTTTGCCAGAGGTGTATTATGACCACCTTTGTAAATTTCATGAGCATTCAAAAAAGAGAGAAGAAAAATACCCCACTGTGATTAAGTTTCATTCATTCAACAAGTTCTTTTTTAAAAGAATTTGTTTACCTGAGACAGAGAGAAAGAGGACACAAGTGGGCAGAGGGAGAAGCAGACTCCTCGCTGAGCGTGGAGCCTGACACAGGGCTCGATCCCAGGATCCTGAGATCACGACCTGAGCTGAAGGAAGACGCCCAACTGAGTGAGTCTCCCACGTGCCCTTCATTCAACAAATTCTTACCAAGTGACTTCTAGGAAGTCCCTGGTGTGCTAATGTATTTTTATAGCCAAAGAGTGCAGTTAAATGACATCAGAGCTAAACTTCCTAGACATGAAAACAAACTTTATTTCAACTCCTGATTTCACCCAAATACAATCGACTCACCAAAACTGAATCATGCCACAAATAAGTTATAAGATCCGTTCTTACAGTATTTTCTATAAATAAGTCTCCCACCTGCACTCGGAAACCTGAGCTCAGCTTCCCTCGCTGGCTTATTTATAATGAACACAGTGGACACCGGTTTCCATTAAGATTTTGCCTAGCAAGCAATAAAGGTGCGTGTGGAAGAGTTTCCAAGTTTTATAAGGAAAAACTGCAATACAACTATGCAGAAATATTCCCTTTCAAAGGCCAACTACTTCCAAATGACGAAAAAGAGTCCAAAATTATTCATGCCACTGAAGAACAAAAAAGAAAATTCCAACGATGCTTTGCCAATTCTAAGTGCACGAAGCCCATTGGCAGGCTGAGCTCTGATCTGGAGGGTCGAGGGAGGACTCACCTGCTGTCTGTTGTTGGGCATGTAGGGCAGCATGGTGGACACGTGGAACATGACTTCATAGTCTTTGTATGTGGTGTAGAGGGAGTGAGTTCCTGTAGAATCAGCTGGAAACAGAGGTGGAGGACAGAAACAAGTCAGGCAACTGCAAAAGTTAGCAACGTGATACTCTCAAGGCTGTTCTTCCGAAGGCAATTCATTAGCCAATGACAGACCACCCAACTATCGACCACCAGTGTGTCTTGGTGGCCACTCTGCTCTCTCGCTGTGCAGTCTTCCAGCCACTTTCCAAACCACACCTGTGGCCTGAATGCTCAGGTGTCTCCTCATCTGCTTTCTCTACCTGTGCCTCCCATGCCCATCCCTCAACATGCTCCCTTTCGCCATACTGACTTCGAGGACCTGCCATGGATGGGACGGAGCACGGGTGAGCAGAGGAGGCCAGAAGCCATAGGTACAGCTGGGGGCAGGTGTGGGTGCCCTTATTTGAAGGGTACGAGCTAACTAATCAGCAGCTCTCCTTGCTCCGCTCTTGTGTGTGTGTTTACAGTTAACTCCGAAGAGGTTCTTGGGCACCCGATCTTCCAGAACTCAACAACATGGAACAGGAGTGACTTAATATGGAAATGAGAACCAAAAATGTTCAAGACTTCTTTCCCTGAACGATGTAATTACTTTTCTTCTCTTTGCAGCAGGCAATGCAATGGTGCAGTCAGATGATTAAGAATGAAGGTGATCTCTTACTGTACATTATGTGCTGACACATGTGTAAAACAATGACATCTGAAGCCCTCTCAATCACACAGCTATTCACCTTCGGAAAAGCAGAATGATTCTTTGCAAATTCAAAATCCATCTGTATTATCAATAGATTACCAGAGACTGAGAGTTTCAGGCACCTGAACCAACACGGTGATTATAAAACACTTAAATGATAATCTTAGGGTGGAATTTTGAACCACTTTGCATATGGATACATAAAGGCAAAAAGATGCATAGAAAGTAGGATGTGAGCAGAATTCAGGACTGCCTTTCTCAGGATCTGAACAACATGTAAGTTTATTTGTCTACTTTTTAATAAGAGACAATGTTTATTCAAGTTCATTTAAAACCAAATTCATTCCATTGTGTTCGTTGGGGAAACTCTAAGTAATCATCTTGGGTTGACTTTTTTTTTTTTTTAAGATTTTATCTATTTGACACAGAGAGAGATCACAAGTAGGCAGAGAGGCAGGCAGAGAGAGAGGGGGAAGCAGGCTCCCTGCTGAGCAGAGAGCCCGATGCAGGGTTCGATCCCAGGACCCTGAGATCATGACCTGAGCTGAAGGCAGAGGCTTAACCCACTGAGCCACCCAGGCGCCCTACTTTTTTTTTTTTTTTTTTAAAGTAAGTTCTATGCCCAGCATGGAGCCCAATGTGGGGCTTGAACTCACGACCCTGAGATCAAGATCTGAGCTGAGCTCAAGAGTTAGATGCTTCACTGACTGAGCCACCCACGTGCCCCTCATTTTTAAATCTAAATATTTTAATTTTACTTTAAAAACATTATAACATTCAGCCTTCGTGGGCCTTTATTATCTTCCTTCTGAATTCTACAGTTTTTCTTTTGAATATTCATTCTAAATCAGAAACGGTCCTGAAAATTTTCTAGAAAACAAAATACAACATCCAGTTTTGCAGATTCTGAAAAGCTATTCAGAGCAGACAATTTAATAAAAAAAGGGAAGTACTTAAAATGTTTACATGCAGATATTAACAAATCAACCTGTAGATGGTAAGAGAGGATATTCATCCGATCAGCTGTTTATTAACCAGTCCCCAAACAGAGCAATTATCCCTTTTAACTATATATTAAGTATATATTTCTTATTTTTTGAAGGCTTCTTAGAAAGTCATGGTCTATTTCAAGTGTCATGGTTGAAGACAGGGAATGTGGCTTTGCAAGGGAATAATGATCGTCTTCTTTCACAAAGAACTGACTTGTTAATAACAACATGAAGGTCAGGGGCGGAAATGACCCAGCACATTGAACAGTTCTCGTCCCAACACCCTGCTATTTAGCTGGTTAGAATTCAGTGAGAGAAATCCTTACAGATAGCTAATAGTGTAGTCAACAGGTTTCAGCTTCGGGAAATTGCAATGAAAGAACAAAGATGCATTTTGGGGAGAAACACTTCTTTTTTTCCTAAAAATTCATTTATTTGAGAAAGAGAGAGAGAGAGAGCACAAAGGGAGAGTGACAGGGAGAAGCAGACTCTCTGCTGAGCAGAGCTCGATGATGCGGGGCTCGATCCCAGGACCCTGAAATATCATGACCTGAGCCAAAGGCAGACGCTTAGCCGACTGAGCCACCCAGGCGCTGCTGCAGGGAGAAAACACTTAAAAAAATACGATCATAATTCGTCTATCCCAAACAGTACTACAAGATGGGTTTCTGAAATTAAATATTCTGAAAGTTTTCATCTCAAATGTCAGTATGATAACGGAGAAGGTGAAATGACAAACTTGCTCAAGGGTCTGCTGCAAATATCCCTATGGGCAAAGAGACGCGGGCCATCATGGAAGTCCCCAGTTGTCACCTCTGCACGCAGACCCAAGAGGGGCTGTGTTTGGCCTGGGGTCTGTAAGTCCTCTCTGGTGAGCCATCCAGTGGTCTTAGTGGTTCCTGTCCCCTCTGTTCTGGCTTCATTTCACTCTGTACTTAAAACAGAAAGAACCCATTTTCAAGCCAGAAGGGACATCCCAGACACTGTACATTTTCCCTGGGGCTCAGATTCGACCCAGGTCCAGTGGGAGGACAGAGTAAAGACTACCATACCACTCTCCTGAATTTAAGAGGGACGATTTTGCGTGTGTGTGTGTGTGTGTTCTAGCAAAGACATAATTTTATTTGAGCATTTCATGAAACAGAATTCTCAGAACCTTCCTATCTATGACAGTGACGTCTCAGACATCTCGTAGAACACCTTGCCTTGCTCATAAAAATAACTCAGATTTGTTGATGATGAAAATCAAGGTGTCGAAATCTCGTTCTCAGGTTATCATTTCCTTGAGTGAAGGGGCTTAGTATTGCATTTGTAATGGATCAGAGACATGTATCTCCTGGGTCATAAAAATTCAAAGCTGACGGCAATGCTCCCACATAGGACAGTATTTATATTATCTGTGTTGCAGTGTTACGGAACGTTCAGATCGGAAGTTCTTACATTTCCTCAATCCACCCCACCGAAGACAGATGACAGGCAGGCATAATAATGACTCCATGCCAGCAGTGGTGTTCGGGAAGGCTGTCCCCAAGGGCAGTATGCCCACACCCCCAAGGGAGTTTGCAAAGAAAAAGGAAGAAACATCAGAAAAGGTCTCCTATGTGGATACCCAGAGTGGGTGTCACAAGTTATTCCCTAGTCTTTACAGATCCAAGGCAAGAGGAATATACACCCAATATAAGAGTCAAGATTCCAACCCTGGCGTGTGTGTAGGACATGCAGGGGCCCACCTATCTGGCAACACTGTCTCCAGATCTGATGAGCTGTGTTCGAAATGTAACCTTCACAAAGAGATAAAAAAAAAAACAAAACCCAGAGCTGATTGACAGGCACAGAAAGACCAGGCCCCACCCTGATGTAGGCAAGTGTGGATGAGGGTCCCAAGTTGAAGGACGCCAGGGACATGGAGCCACGGGACCTCAGATGGCCCCACAGGAGGCTCCCATGGGGAAGAAGTTCACACTTCACACCCCCGCTGGAAGTGGGCCATCTGCCTTCCCACTTCCTCCAACTGTAGGATCTATTCACTCCCCTTTGATTAGAAGAGGGCACAGATGACTGCTTGATAATAAAGAGTATTTCCCAAAATACACAAAGTTACTCTGCCCGGAATGTTTCAGATACTGATAGCTAAGAGATCTAACAGCATAAAGACAGAGATAAAATATTTAGACATAACGAGGACCAGAAGGAATAGGATTCTTCAAATAAAGATATGACGGAAATCCGCACATCACGGGGGCGGGGGGCACTGAGCCTGTGTTTTAAATCCGGACTTTAGAGCAAGCGTGTGCCCCACTCAAGGGGGCCTGAGTAAGGTCACGGGCAAACAGCAAGCCACTGTCTCCACTCCCCAGTTAACACTGTGAAACCAGAAATGAACAGGACGAGGCGGATACCATGGTGTGAGCGAAGGTGCTAATGTTCTGTCTTTTAGAAATGATTGTGGTCTCGTCCTTGGTACATCGGAACACGGGTGTGAGAGCAGAGGTGAGGCCAAGAGGAAGAAGGGGATATTAAAAGATTCTTCACAAAACACTGGGGAATCTCTCTGCTGGTGTTAGAGAAAAGGAACTGACCTTTTGAGCTTCTGCGAAACACATACCTCTTGAGAAATGTGCTGCCTTTGCTCACCTGAGGAAATTTCAACTCTATCCCAAGTGAGCCTGGTGAGGTGGCTGCTGGGGTCAAGAACGGGGTGGGGGGGGCCTCACTCGCTCAGATTTATGTGGCATGCCTACCTTTGGAGAATTAAACTTGTGTGCATGCACAAATAGGAAGCTTACTTTTATTGTCCAGCTGAGCTCGGTATTTGGTAAATCCTTTCAGCCGGACTCGCTGGCCCAGAAGATCAAGGAATTCTTCAAAAGCTAGTCCCGCCGTCTCGTTGTTATACATCTCCTCCTCTGTGCTCTGGCCTGCTTTGCAATAAAGGATCCCGATCTTGTGCTGAAAGCTCAGCTGAAATGGGGGAGAAATAGAATTACTTGGCAAAGAGTATCAGACAAGCTAGCTTCCAGTAAAATTAAAACAGTACACACGCCTGGACAATTCCCATAAGCAAATGAGCAAAAGAGGAAGTGACTGTCATTGTGCAAAACGCTGCAGATACCTAACAAACCCAGAAACCCCCATATACGGTGGGGGACATGGCAGAAACCATAAGAAACAGAATGGATAGCCATGCCGCATAGGATCCATCAGGTTTCCAGGACAGACAGACAGCCTTGGCTATCTACTTAAAAATACAACTGTGGACGTTCGTAATCTTACACCTTCTGCGCAGTACAGACAGTCCTCTTCCAAGTCAGAAGGAAAAACAAAGCCATAAACTTTTAAGTTTTTCCCTCTCTGGTTCCTGATGCTTTTGTTGTTGTTGTTCTTCGACATTCACGAAAATATGAAAGACGGTAATGAACAAACAAATCGAACGAAGGTCTGGTAGGGGAGGAACCCCCGGGGGGACAGGGATCTATGTACAACACAGAACGATGTTTCGTGTCCATGAAAGTAACTTTGGCTATAAAATTACAGTCGTTTCTGTATTTCTGACAGTCCTGCAAAGAAACCATCTGCTAAATACACAACAGACCATAAAGAATTTTAAGAGCCGCTGAAGAGTTCCTGCCATAATTCTAACTCACAATCAATCTCTTATCGCACTAGAAGCCATGGGGCTGCTTTCTCCCAAGGCCAGGGAGACACTGGATCCAGCTGTACAGCTTTCCTCCTGTTTCCAAAGAGAAACTACTTCTCCCTCCTGAAATCCGGGCACTAAATCTCACTACCAGCAATCTGAGCCTCCCCAAACCGACAGATTATCAGACATCACCGATTTCCTAAAGGCATCAATCCATAACACTGTTCGCTTTCATTATCAAGCCATAAAATCGAGCCTTTAATCAGAATTCATAGCTGACTACCAGTAAAATAAAGCAGAACGGTATTCATGTCCCTTGAGTGGCAGAGAGGTAGGAGCTATCTTATCTGTGTTACCTAATGACAACATATGATCCGAGAAAGGGAGGAAGCCACCTGCCCGGGCCATCCAGGCCCACTGTAGGAAGCATCTTGGTAAACGTTAGGATACATTTACAGTCGAACAGTAAGCTAGCCACCCCTGCATTCTGAATGTCATCAACATGGACCGAGTGTTACTGGCGGTTAGGGGGAGGATATGGGGAAGCATCCTCCGTTCGCAACCTGACTGAACGAGCTCTTATGGTGATGGACCCCACAGCATGGCGGACAGCGCACGGCCTGGGCTCCTGTCAGACCCTACGACCTTCAGCTGCACGCTGAATACAATGATTCGCGCCCCAAGTGTGGGGACAGCTGTGTTGCGAACTACCTGATAGCTAGTATGATGAATTCTATTGAACTAGTTCTTTGGGAGGGTTAAGTAGAGAAACTCTTCCATTCTTCCAGAGATTGAGGGAAAAAACGTTTCTGATGAACTCGACTCTCCAAATAAATGAGAAACCCAATTTGCTGCAATGAGACCATCATCTAGAAAAAATATGGAGTGTAATAAAAGTGCCCAGTATTACTTCATTATAAACACTCGTTGTTCCGGAGTGACTCAGAAGACATTTCAGGATGTTAAAGCCACTCGGGAAACAGAGGACTAGCAATTATGCCCACAGATATGGGTGATCTCAGTGACTGTTGGGATCCATACTGATCCTCTAATGAGGCCTTCCTATCCCAGATATCAGGTTAGCTCGGTGACTCCTCGGCCATTAGAAGAGGATTTCAACTGTCTCCCGCTATTCAGCCCGAACCGAAATGAGGGCCCTCCAGAGAGGCAGTGGACGGGTTGGCGGTAGTGCATGTAAGCTCAGCATCCCACGGGCCCGCATGCTCGTGCAGCCTGGCACCCACCACCTTGTCTGCACTCACAGACTGCCATGCTGTCATCCACATCCTTGGAGCTCCATCCAGTCCGCCTGTCCTCTCCTCCTCCACCTGCTGCTCACGCCAGGGCTCCTGTCAGCGCCCCACGCGTCAACGCCATCTGGCCACCGAGTCTGCGCTAATGTCCCCTGGCCGCTCCTGCAGCCTGCCCTGGTCTGCCCTGGCGTCTCCAGCGGGAGAACCCTTTCTCTTCCCACATCCACGCCTATGGGAAGAAGCCTGGAGCAAAACTGTATGGGGCTGCATGGTTTGGGCCACTATGGCGTCCTGCCCATTAAGCAGAGCGCTCACCAGATGGGCACAATTTCTGTCTGTGACTCCTGAGTTTTCTGGACTTGATATTCCTAGTGGACTCCTATTCAGGCAAAGGCCAAACACCCAGAGAACTGGGCTCCCCCAGGCCTACTTCGCTGGCTGTGGTGCTGTCCACTCCACATCTTTCTTCCCAGCCATCGGACAAAGCAGCCAGAGTCTAGACCCTGAGTGCGGACAGGATCTGTGTTCCCTCCAAAAAGCCCCCAGGCCCATGAAAATTAGGGGATGTGGCTCCAACAGATTTCAAAGCCCCCACGTGTTCATGACAGCCATCAGAGCGCTGCTGCAGTGACAATGTCCTGTGGCAGGTGCACAGCATGTCATAAGTATCACACACATTTACTGGGAGGAGGCCACAAAACGGAACGATCTCTAGGGTCTCAGTACTAGCAACTGGGGTTTGCTTGCTACGATGGCTGCCATTCCGCTAAAACTAACAGAATGAAACACTGGGAAGAGAATTCTCTGACTTGATTCTCTTACAGACCTCATGAAAACAACTAGAACCTAATATCAACCATCACTCCTCCTGCACTGTATCACAAAGCTAGCAGCACACCCCGCAGTTAACTGGGGCACAAAACAAAGGGGAGACCCCAGCTCCCAAGTACTAAAACTTCCAATTCTCTCAGAATAGGGTTTGTCTCCAAGCCCTCCAGAACTTGGGCCGCCCCCTGATCTCTTACCCTTCCCCCTGACCTTGGTTTAACTGCTCTGAACCACAGCCAGTCCCACAGTCCTGGGGAAGCTGGCCGGGTTCTTGGGCATCAGTACTGTCAGAAACCAGAAATACCCACTTGTTGAAATTGCAAATTGCAACAGTGCGGAGAGCTGGACATACAGACAGACCGCACAGACAGAAAACCCAGCACACCAGGTCTCTTTGGCTTCCTGGGATAGGATGACAACTGACTGATCCATTCCCAAGGGCAGAAGCCTTGTGCTTATCAAGAAGGATTTAAATTTAAGTGAGGGTGACAAAAATAACAAAGCCTCAGAAATGCCTTGCAAATAAACTGGAGTGTGCAGAGAGGCCTTCCTTCTAGTGCTTTCTCTGGACTCCGTCTGTTCCCGGCAAGCACAAAGTCTTATTTATTTAGATCATCTCTTCAGACCTGCGTGACTTCGCCCAAAGCAAGCCTGGTATGCAAGCAGACGTATTTACCCAGGGTGAGGGGGACAAGAAGAAAGCCGGCCTGAGAACAAATTAATCATTCTGCCAAAGACGCCATGATATTCTCAGAGCGAGTGGCCACAATTTATCTGATTTTTTAAAATGTCAACCTAAATAATGGTATAAAGTCATCTATGATATAAATTAGGAGAGTGTTTTAAAACAGGAAAAAGGGGATTTTTGAGAGGTTGAGAGATGAATTTTTGTAGATAAAGTAACAAAAGTTTCAGAGTCTCACTTAATAATTACTTCCTTTGTCATTCTCCATGGAGGGGAGTCTCTCTGCTCAAAACTTAAAGGATGGGATGTGTGGACTTAGAGAATGAACCTCAAGAATGGGACGCGTGATCTGAGTATCTAATGAAGCCCTTGCTACGAACCTACATCCCGGTCAGCAGATGTACTCAGTGACCGGGTTGGACCCGGGCAGCTACAGACCCCATGGAAGCAGCTCATGAAAATATATCCTTGCAGCATTTGTTTTTCTAAGATTAAAACCCACTAAGAACAGTACCTGAAAACTGGCCCAGCCCATTCCTGTGCAGATTTGCTAGTAAAAGCTGAATCAAAAGAACACTATCTGGAACACAGTCTTAAACACTCTTAAAGCTTAGTGGCAACTTTTAAGGATCCTTTAAAAATGAGCATGCTTAAAAAGGAAAAAAAAAGCCATCCCATCTCTCTTCAGAATGCAGATAAATGGTATCTCTTCCTCATGTAATATGGGAGTCGGACACCATCAGGAGGTATGGGGAAGTGACAAGGCCACAGGGCACACCACCAGGAAAGCAGACCAGAATCGAACAAACACACCTGCCAAAGAAAAACCACACGAAATTCAACTAGAGCTAAACGATGCGCTGGTTCGCTGAAAAGCAGAACCCGATTTTCAAAGCATTAACTTTGACATCAAACCGTAAAAAAAGGTGCTCATTTAAAAGCATTTAAACTCTTCATTTAAAAAAAAAAATTGCCTGGCATAGCTTCTGTGCTCACTGGACATCCCAAATCCTTGCTTTGTTTCAGGAGGAGACAGTCAGTGGTTGCTGCTGGGATGTCTCTGGGGCCCTGAGGGTGTTCGGGTGCAGGCCTGTGGACCAGGGGCCGTTTGTGGGATTTTCCACAGCAGCCTGAGGGGACCAGCTACCTTAGCCACCACGCTGAACAGCAAGTCCAGCCATAGATTTTAAAGGGGAACGATATATTCTAGCAACATAAAGGGACACAGAACTACCACATTCTCCCGTGACTAGAAATATAAAAATAAGCACGACCATAACATATGAAAATAAGTGTGGTTCTTTTCATCAAGACTGTTTGCTTCTAGAGTAACTGGACCAACACCGACATGTCCTTCCTGCCCTCCCTGATAGCGGGTTTCTCCTCACCCACTTCACGGACGTCTCGCACATTTACCTTACCAGTCACGACCATGGTCCAGCCGTCCTGGGTATCACATAGTCTTACAGGTCAGCTGCTCTAAGGGAGAGCTCTGGTTTGGTTAGTATGCCAGCCTTCCTTCTTGAGACAGACAGATCGCAGGACTAGTCACTCTGAGTGTTAGGGTGCCCTCTTCCTTTGGCTAATCATGCAGTGTTAATGTCTTAGACAAATTAATATTTCATCACTTTGAGAACTCTGCCATCTGAGTATCAAAAACCATCAATCTACCACATTGGTGTTACTAGGTCAACCAAGAAATACCTCCTAATCTCCCTAAAACAGGCAAAGGAATTTTCCTTAGAAAATTCTGGAAAGATACATGAATATTGTCTTTTTGGGTTTTTTAAAAGCAGGCATTTAACAGGAAGTTTGCTCATTTGAAGTAAGTTGCATACACTGGGGTGCCTACCTCTTAGGTTCCAGCTACAAGTTATCTCATATCTGACACTTAAAAGACCTCTTTCCACCTTCTGGGCCACTGTCCCTATCCTGTCCAACATTACTTCTCTCCCAGATGATGTCAACAGTCCATAACTGAACTCCAGGCTATCATCAGCCTTTAACCTCATTAGCCTGTCTCATTCCCTTCCGACAGGATAATCTTTCTAGAATACAGCTGATTGTGTCTTGTCCTACCAAAAAGCTTCAATGGCTTCTACTTGCCTCCTGAATCATGTGCAAACTCAGCCTAGCTTTTAAGGTTTTATATTATAGGCTATAGCTTCAACATACTTTCCCCCCCCCCCCCAACTACAACTTCTCTAGATGTGCCTTGTTTTATAAACGAACTCATCATAGTTCCCAGAGCAGCCAACTGCTCCCATCCCCCTCCCGGAATTCGACCCAAGTCCCAGGTACAAGGCTACCTTCTTCAGGAGCCGTGCCGTCAGACGTTATTTCTTCTTTTCCCAAAGGACTCACTGCACTTAAACCTCCTCAAGATCCACTACTACACTCTGCCCTGCAGAGATCTTTGTGCTCTTGGTCTTACTGTTCCTCTGGGGCGGGGGACGACTTCTTAGCCTCAGTCTCCCCAAAGCACGCTGTCCATTTCCCACCTGTTAGCATCAGTGTCTCATATACAGTGAGGCAAGGACAAATGTTAGTTCAGGAAAGGACCAATGTGAGTTTTTTAAACCCTGGAAAAAAATACCACTGATCTCTAATAATCATGAATCAGATGGGCTCTTTCACCAAAACCTTGGTAAAAACAACACAGGTCACAACTCGGCAGGAGCGGTACTGCACTAGACAGCCATCATGTTTCCTAGGAGCAGTCAGAGAAAAAAAAAAAGCGCATTAAAAATAAACGATCCCCAAAGAAAGATGGATGGGAAAAGTCCGAAACGGCTTGAAACACAGACACATACTCGGACCCAAACGGGGACGCCCGCATTGTACACACCCCTTGTTCATCCAGCTTGAGCAGCTGCTCCGAGACCTTGGGTGAATTCGAAGCCTGTCTCAGGCACTGGATGCTCAGCTCCGGGATGACGTACTCCAGAACCTCCTTGAGAGGTAGTCCCCGCGCGGTCCCATGCCTGGCGGTAGAAGGTATGGCATCTTCTAGAATTGCTCCTCGCAGGGTTGTTAGCTGTGAGGGGTGAGGGGGGAAAAACAGCAGATTCCAGAACATCACAGAAGAGATCTTGTTTACTCCTGGTTACTTCCTGAAGGCTAGATTTTTTAGTGGTCTTCCAAGAGGCGGGAAAGGTCAGTCTCTTTTCTGAGTGGGCAAAAGTGACTGCAGCTCTCCATGGGTAGAAGCAAAATCAACACTTAAACAACAAAAGGGCCCCGGGGCTCAGGGATAAGCTGGGAGGGGTTGAGATAGTCAGGGAGTGTGCCTGGAGAAAGAGGGAGGCTGGTTGGGGCGTGATGGTCCCAGAGCCAACCAAAGCGTGACGCTGAGGAGAGGCAGGAGATCTGCGGGCTGGCCCCTCCCTGCATCTTCCTCCCACCGCTCCCTTCTCTTTTCCTGTTGCCCTGTGTTCTATACCAACTTCTGTCCTTTCCTTTCTCTTCTCCTACTTCACTTTCCACTGCTGATAGGTCCTGCAGCTGGATGGGGATATCCAGTAACACCCACAGGGATTCAGGCCTCAGAAGATCATTTACTACCGAATTTTGCCTCGTGAGCGTGATACGTCCTCAAACGCGTGATGAAGGCACACGAGCGCCATTCTGACACTCGCTCCGGAGAGGAAACCGCAGCACTGCAAATCGGGGGACCCAGCTCTGACCCCCCACTCCAACTCTGGGAAGAGAACTGTTAACGGACAAGAGAGTGGGGGTAAGGGCTGTGGCAACGACGTGTGCCGTGTGCACCACGTTCGAGAACACCACCGCCCCGCAGAGTCCTGTGCAATGAGGAGAACATTCTCTCAGCAGCCGCACTGGCTGACACAGGAGCCACAGGCTCTGTGTGGTTACTGGGCACTTGACACGTGACCAGCAGGCCTGAGGAACTGTATTTTGAATTTCATTTAATTACTTCAAATAGTCACATGTGGCTAGCGGCACTAAATTGGACAGCCCAGGCTTGTAACTTACAGGCGTTGCTACAAGTCAGGGGCTCTCTCTCCCACGTATCCAGCACAGAGCCCCATCACGGGAGCACCTGGCCAGCCACGTCGCGGGACACAGGCTCACGCACACACAAGGGGCGAGCGAAGAGCTCCCTTTCCTCTCGCTCATCTGGAAGGAGCCAACCAACATATGCCAGCTGGGATGCTTGCCAAATACGCCCCGCCCGTCATTTCAACAGGTCAAGAGAATAAACCCCGAAACGCGGACCTTCTTTGTAATCGGCGTCTCTACCTATATTGTTCCGTTTGTACAACACTCCCAGTTTTTACTCCAACCAAGGCAAGAGAGGCACAAAGCTGGGACCTCGAAATAATGCGGCGTGCACAGACAGCCGGCCACGCTCCCCTCCACCACGGACCAGCTGATTTCCTGCTTTAGATCTCAAAGCTGTTGGTCAGCTCTGGCGTGAACGGGCCAGTTCATACATGTCCTCTCTGAGCCCCCAAACCTTCCGGTCTTACCATTGTATCCTTTCTGTCATGTAAGGGGGAAGTAAAATCATTGCCCCTTAATATCTGTGACAGGGTTTCAAATTTTTATTGGGAATAAAATACTGTAGGTTCTTTTAATGATCTTAAATGCTGTAGTCATTTATATTATACCTTCTCTGAAAAATCTAGTGTGGTAACATCAGAAGCTTCAGCCCAGGACAGCAAGGACACAAGGCGGCCATTACCTCACTTGTCCTGAAGGCCACCCGGTAGTTGAACTGGGACCCCTCTTTCTCCTTGGCGTCTTCTACCTTCTCCCTCCGGATGCTGACAGCCACTGGGCCGAGGTTTTCATCTATGCCAAAGTAGTTCTGGTGCTCTGTAACAGGAGACAGTGGTGGCATCAAAAGAAAGGAACAAAGGACCGGATGGGTGTCTTTTGGCGTCTGTGTCCCATCTCTGAAAAAAATACCACGTGGGTCTGGGTACACAATTCCCTAACTGTGTTTGGTCAAACAAAGTGTTTTGTTTCCAAATCGGATGTACTTACACATCTCGTAAGAGCTCTTCCAACGCTGCCCCCCACCACCGTCCCTACCTGCCCCTGCCGCCCCGCCCCCCCCATCACTAAAGAGCATCCCTAGAAAGAGTGTGCTGCCATTCCCAAAAACTGTCAAGAGAAAAACCTAGTTCCTTGAAGACCGTTACCAAATGGCTCCCCTCCAGCTGGGAAGGTCACCTTCTCTGACCAAATGTGGGCACTCGGACTAGCCAGGTAAAGCTCACTCCTTCATCACGATGTCACTAATGTACCTAGCCGTCTAACACAGAATTTTACAACAGACAGAAAAGGTCATTAGTTGCTGAGGTCAAACTGTATCTACTGATTCTGTAACTTGGTTTATTCTGTTCTCAGCTAATAATGAATTTCATATTAAATCACTGGCCCTTCAGGGCTCCAACCCATGCAGTCTCACTGCAGAAACAGGTTTTGGGGGCCCTCTTGTCCATCTAGCACAGGAATCCCCGAGCACACGGCTCTGAGGGACGGTCAGGAGTCTCATTACACATTCAACAACACGTGTCAGGCACCGTTTTGCAGCGGGGTAACAATCCAGGACAAATTCCCGTTCATGAAGCTAATATGCGAGCCTGAACTCTGCCAACGACAGGAAGCTCACTGCTTTGGGAGCAATCACTTCTGGACTGTGGGACCAAAAGCTCCTCCGTCTGCTGAAAGAAGTCAAAACGCTTTCCTCCAACCAAACTTTTTAAGTGTCATCTTCTGAAAGGACCCAAACTCAACACTCAGATGTGCCGTGAACGCACATGAAATAGGGGGGTCAATGACCCCAGTGCTTATTCACACAGCTTACCTATTTTTAGCAGCCCCTTCGTATCAACGATCCACATGGAGCAGGTGGGAAATACAACCTCCCAAGGGACATTCGTTTATTTCTTAATGAACTGCTACCAGGTCAGGTCCCGAAGGTATATACTCATAAAAATGACCTTTTTTCACCCTCTATGCAGAACGAGACTCATCCCCTTTGACTGTCACCTTAAAAGGTCTGGGTCCATCTTTCCCAACTCTTCATTTTTAGTTAAAAAGAAATAAAATGAATCAGATATTTATAAGTTTGAAGAAAACTGCGGGCATCCTGAAGTGCTTTGGTTATGCTAATATATTCCGCCATATTAATTCTGGCCACATTATTCTGGAAGGAATAAGAAATGTTATTTAGAAAGAAGAAATCAGGGTGAAAACAGGATCTGCCATCAGCCAGGACAAACATTACCCAAAGCCAATGGTAACTATTCGCTAGATCTCAAAAAGCCATTTACTCCTTTTCTTCTTTACTTTCCAATCATTTACTTCTTTACCTCTTGTGACCAAACGAGATTAATACTGTCATTACTTCTCTTTAAAGTTGAGGCTACAAGTAGCAGGTGCACTATTTTAGGGGCTGATGGGTGAGTGACTGACTTACTATAGTCCTGAGCTTACAGGGTAGGAAACAAGCCTTGGTTTTGGATAGGTAACTCTTCCCCTGGGTAAATTACATGCTAGTTAACAGCCAGGTTAACTGTTACAGACAAGAACGACTCCAGTGAAACCAAGCACACATCGTAAAAAATGTAGCTGATTGAGGAGAGCTGGTCCAGAAACAGTTATTTGGATTTTAATCAAAGTTTTAAAATATTCAATGAAAACAGAGACTGAAAGTTAGTTGTCTATTTCAGACTACTAGGCAGATTATCATTTTATTAAAGTTAGTGTTAGTGACTATTAGACCCACGGCATTATACTAGATCCTGTGGAAAATACATCTAAAAACTTAAATCAGTTTAGAATTTCCTTAGTCACAGTCTGTCCTGACAAGAACTTTCCCTTTATCTCTTTTCTCCTAAGGCAGATGCGTTAAGAAAAACATTCAGCAAGTGCACAAAAGCACAACCGGTGTTCCTCAGGCCAAAGCTTCCTCCTCAGACCCCATTTCGACAAGTGACCTGCAATAACGCTAAATCAATTCTCTGGTAGGCGTCTGACGAATCCTACTGACATGACTGCAACGAGCCTCAAATTATTTTAGGGAGGAAAACAGTGACCAAGTCAACAGAACGCTTTCTTGTGGTGAAACCAAGAGTCCAGATTCAGGGCATCGAATCGCTAACTTGAACACGTGACGACTGAAAGTCCTACAGTGTGTGCTCTCCCCGCATCAGCAGCTGGGGCTGGTCACAGGGGAACACACGGGAATTTTCTGGGCTGAGGGAGCTACCCCGCATCTTGACGGTGCTAGTGGTTACACACCGTGTTCATCTGTCAGAACTCTAGAACTTGACACTTAAAAAGGGGGGAATTTCACTGTAGGTGAAGTGTACCTTCATTTTTAAAAACTGGGGAAGAAAAGGTCAACGAGAGGTAGACCCAGTGGGCCTGGCAAGTAGATGGGTCTCTGGCAAGACAGGAGTCATGAGCGCTGCCCCCAGCCCCATGGACCATCCCTCCACCCCCGCTGTCCCTCAGTGAGGAGAATACTTGCCCCTCGACGGCTGGTTCTCTCCCCCGTTTCCTCACCCGACCTCCACCCCACACTCTGGCTCTGGCTTGGCAGGCCTGCCACGTGGGGCACTGCTGGCTTCCGGGAGTGTCTTTTCCCAGTGAACCGCCTCAGGGCTCTCCTTTGGGGTCTGCTTTGGGGCTGCCCCTCTGGCCTCCCCTCATAACCTGGATGTGTCCCAAGGCTCCACCATCAGCCCATGGCTGTCCGTTCTGAGTCTTGTCTTCCAATCTGTCTGAACATTTATCTGTCTGTCCTTCCATCCACCCATCTTCTCCTGGAAGTTCCTCAGGGACATCACCCCAAACTCTCTACAGACTCCTCTCCCAAAACTCCCCTAACTCACACATTGGCCCCCATGGCCTGGCATGTCCCTCGCTCTTCTGAGCTTGATGTTCTAATGCATCCCTCTAGACTCCACACAAGCGTTGCTTCCACTGACACTATCCGCCTCACCTCCAGATGAGGTGGAGCCCTTCAACTTTTATATCCTCAGGGCCTGATTCGATAGGACCTAATAAATTATAAGGGCTTAACAAATTGTACTTGAATTAAGGAACTCAAGTAGGCTCCCCGGGTACTGTCCAAAAGGAATAGTTTTCCTGAATCTCAACCGAAAGCACCAAAATAAAAACAAGGAGGCAGCTCCTTGCACGCTGGCAAGTGGAGAAGGCAGTGTGCAATGTCCTGGGACCAGAAATGTAGCAGGTGCTGCCCCCATGAGAGGGGTGATATGGTTTCTTGAAATATTTACAAAACTGAGCACTGAAACACCTATTAGAACAGTCCTAGTGCTGCTGTAACAAACTGCCGCAAGTTTGGGGATTCGGAACAACACTCATTTACAGTCTCACAGCTCTGGAGGTCAGAAGTCCATAGTCTGTGCCAATGGGCCACAATCAAGATGGCGTCTGGACTGCATTTCCTCAGGAAGCCCTAGGGAGCAATCCATTCCCTTGCCTCTTCCAGCTTCGAGGGCTATATTCCTTGACTTCCTTGGCTCATGGGGCCCCTTCTCCTCTCTTCAGACCCAGACCTAGATCCTGCTTCAGCGCCCACAAGGCATTCCCTGGCAGAACTCCCCCTGTCTACGTCCTACATGGACACTTGGGATGGCATTCAGGTTGCACCCAGAGAACCCAGCATGGTCTGCTCATCCCAAGATCCTCCACTTTATCACATCTGGAAGGCTGCATTTGCCTGATAAGGAAATATACATAGCTTCCAGGGATTGGAGCCTGGATATCTCTGGGGGCCCACACTCAGCCCACCACACACACTGCATGCATCTGAATTCATTCACTCAAATGTCCAGCATGGGCTAGGTCTCAGCCATGTGCCGGACACTGATACATAAGAGGGATACCACGTCGGGCAGGACACAGTGCCTGCCTCACAAAGTTTCAGTCCTGTGCGGCTAACGCTATCAGAAACAGACGAGAGTTGTGCATTCCAAGTTCTGTGGCAGGACTAAGCATGAGGTACCACAGAAACCCCACTAATATCCACTCCAGAACCAACAATCCCGAAGAAAAGCACCACGTACGCAGTCAAGCAAATGGCACAAAGCCCGTCTACCCTATTTTAACATGTTCATAGGACATAGTTCTTCAAAACCGTTCTCCTTCTCACTCTGCTGCACCTTTCCGCACTCTTAACTCTGTTCCCACAAAACATCTCGAATTCTTTTACAAAGAGTACTCTAACCCACAACCACAATGTGTCCCCTCCACTTACGAAGGGCTGTACTCGGTTTTGGTGATGTTTTGTAGTTCTCTGTCATTCATTCATGGCTTTCTTTGAATTTAGTCCAAGGTCCTTGATATTTTAGGTTAATAGAAATAGTATTTTTCAAAAATATTCTATTTCTATTTGTATGTTTCTAGCATACGGATAATTCGGATCGGAGATTGGATTATTTTCCTTTTAGTTTGACCAGGTTTTGTGTGTGTGTGTGTGTGTGTGTGTGTGTGTGTGTGTTTTCCTCCCTACATATTCTGAAGCTCTGATTTTGGTGCTCAGAACTGACCCTTTTATCATTATGAAATGCCTCTGTTCACCTACAGGGACCGATCTTGCTTTACCATCCATTTCGTATTACACTAATCAGGTGGCGACTGTCGTGTCGGGGAGCCCCAGCTATCACGAGAGGTGTCTCTGGCTCTTGAACCTGTCCACGGCTCTGGGGAAGGGTCTCCCATTCTCATTCTCCTGCCGGGAGGCATTGAGCCCAGAGATGGGCGCGGGGTGGACTTCTCACTGGGTTGACTTTCACTTAATCCCTACTCTCCAGTGAAGTGCCCCAGTCCTGCCC